CCTCCCGAGTAGCTGGGACTACAGGCATGCGCCACCATGCCCGGCTAATTTTTTCTATGTATTTTTAGTTGTCCGATTAATTTCTTTCTATTTTAGTAGAGACTGGGTCTCGCTCTTTCTTGCTCAGGCTGGTTTCGAGCTCCTGAGCTCAAACAATCTGCCTGCCTCGGCCTCCCAGAGAGCTAGGATTACAGGCGTGAGCCACCGCGCCTGGCCATTATTTATACTTTTTATAACAATATTTTCAATAGGCATTTTTGTTTCCTGGTTTGGTTCCTGCTACATGTCTGTCACATATAGCAAGTAGATCATTTTAGGATGTTGCTATTCTTAAATAAAATATTTACATAGAATTAATTGGAAAATGTTTTTATCGTGACCATGACTGGCCACTTTCTTCATTGATTCTGCTCTGATTCTGTTTTCCCTTTTCTGTGTGCATTGCTACACAGACTGTGTTCCTTTTTAAATTGCTTTCTTACAGTTTAAACATCTTTCTTACGTAGATGACTTTCATCCTCTGCTGTTCTTTTCCGAGCCTGCTTAGTAAGGAATTGCTTTTGCTTCTCCATTAGCACTTTAGAGAAGTGTAGGCAAAGCTCCCCTCATAAAAACAGTGGTCATCTAATCTCGTGAATTTAAGTAGCTACTCTTTTCTTATTTTGCACAGAATTCACTTTGAAAGCCCTGCCTCCAGTAACACTGCCTTACTCCGTTGAACTCCTATTGTGGAGTAAAGCTGTGCTTGATTTTTGATTAGCTGGCCTCCACCTTGCTTTGTGTTAATCAGAAAAACCATGAATGAATAACATTTAAATTTTATATCCAGGAAACCTTGAAAACCATTTTCAGGGTTGTCCTGGTGCCTCCCTGGACTTGGCTCAGGCCCCCTGCACAGGTCACATCTCCGTCGTCTTATCCTCCACTTTGGGCTCTACCTGCAGAATTGTACCGTGCATTATGAGCCTGCCGTGTTGATAGGGTCTCAGTTGTCAAAAGAATTGGATTGTCCATATTCTGTGTTCCTCATGAAGATAGGAATGTGCTTATGTTTTAGGAAGAGTTTCCAGAAGCACTGAGATATACATCTTTTTAAATAGAATGTTAAATCCTTAAGCAGTTTGATTAAGTTATTTGGGAGTTCTTGTAACTATTTCAGTTCACAAAGCTTTTAGCAAGGCAAAAGGTATTTGAACCACAGTACAGAAATGTCTCCTGCAGTGAGAGTCATCTAACTGGGTTTTTACTTTTTAAATCAGACACAAAAGCAGCAGGTTCAGAAGTATTCTTTAGGGTTTTATTGTTAGATAGTGATTAGATGTGGCAGTTAGGCTTATTATTCATGTCATGAGTAGAAATGACTATGGAGAGAAATGGTGATTCTGTGGCAGCTGAGCACGATTTTTCTATTTCCAAGTCTTTGTATTGCATGCATGCATTTTTCTTTAAAAAGTGTGTAAATATTTTGTTATTAGAATAAAGCCTTCTTACTATTTTATGCTTAAGCATAACATTTCTAGTCTGCCACTTTAACCCTTAAAAATGAAATACTACCAATCAATCTTTCTAGTCTGCATGTAATTGCCTAAAGCTAAAATAAAGCTTTTTCTCAGTTACAGTAGAAATGAGTTAATATATTGGCAACAGAATAACCATCAGCAATCAGCTGTTAGCTGTTTACTAATGAACTCCCAGATGAATGAAAAAATTTCAGAATCAGTGTTTTACTTCAGGCTGTACATGAACTTAACACTTCAGTTGTAGGAAAAGCAACTTATATGCTATACAAATAAATGCTAGTGCTTCATCTCAATAAACTGTAGATCTGGAAAATGTTTGGAGCTCAGTTGTAGATCCATGTTTTAATAGTAAACATGTTTTGGGTGACATCAGGTAATGCTTATTCTTGCAATTAATCTTATACTGAATTTTATGTTTGATTTTATTTAAAAGTAATCGCCGATGTTGTTAAGTCTTATAGGAATTTTGAATCTGAAGAATAGGTATTTTCCAGTGAATTACAACTATGTTTGAAAAGAAGAATGAGGTATGAAAGACTAGGTTTGTACAAAGTACTGGAAAAAAATTGAGAAGAATTAGCTTATGGAAAGAAAAATATCTTTATTTTAGTCTAGGCTAATAGGTTTATAAAAGACTGATATTCACACTCTTATTCTTCAGTGCTAATGTCATCATAAGATGATGTCAAAAAAGTGGAGAATAAAAATGTGTCACAAAAGTATAATAAAATCATGGAACATAAAATTGTCACTACAGTGTAGTAAAAAAAAATCACATTGCATACTTTAGGGAATGTAAATAGTTTTAGAAAGGAAACTGTCAAGTTACGACACGAGATGAGAAAGAATACCGTCAGTCTATTGACAGTTCATATATGACAACAGAGAAGATAGCTTTAAAATTCAATGTGCTATACCCATTTTAGACTAAAAGAGAACATATTCCTTCTTGATTTTTAATTTGTCCTACTTAGAGATGGTAAAGTTTGAGAACTTCCGGTGTGGATACTCAGGAAGTAGTAAAATGGCAATGGAGACTAAACAGAATTGGGTTTTCAGTATAGTCAAGTAGTAGTTAAAAATAACGATTGCAGGTTTTTTCCCCTCCCCCTGGAGTCGAGTCTTGTAGATTCACAACAGGAGAGCTGAGGACTGTCCATGGTGTCCAGGTCAGTCTCCTGATTGGGAGGAAAGTGCCGGGAGGTGACCAGGCCTCCTCTTGTATCCCTTGGTGGATGGATGGAGCAGGTGTCTGGGCTTCAGGTCTTTGCTTTTTGTTTCTCCTTCAACAAAAAAAAAGTTCCTAATATTGAAGAGGAACTTTGATAAATACATACCACATTTTTTAAATACTCACAGTTTTATTAATGGTATGGTTAACATGTGGTAGGGTTCGAGGTCAGATAAGGGATTCTTGGAATTTATTTTCTCTTTATGTACTATTCAGCCGTGCTAATTAAATCGTTGGCAGAATAAGACGCAGACATCTGTATCAATAGATACGTACTTCAAATTGATTTATCATGTGAATGTGTTTTTTATTTTCTTTCTCTGTATGCAGGTTTCAGCAGGCAGATGGTGGAGATTCTTCACAAACATAATATTCAATTTAGCAGTTTTGACATCTTCTCAGATGAAGAAGTTCGACAGGGGCTCAAAACCTATTCCAATTGGCCTACCTATCCTCAACTGTATGTTTCTGGAGAGCTCATAGGAGGACTTGATATAATTAAGGTTAGAATTGAGAAGTCTGTACCTTGTAAAGAAATTTCATTTAGAACATCCTTTTTTTTTTTTTTTTTAATTTCGGAATATTACAGGGGTACAAATGCTTTGGTTACATAAATTGCCTTTGCACCGCCAGAGTCACAGCTGTGAGCATGCCTATCCCCAAGACAGCTTTTAAGTTTTGTATAATAAATCTAAAATACAGCTTTCTTATGAATCTCTATATTAAGAGGAACCTGTAGTAAATAAATACAGTGTTTCTGATGAGGTGATTGATCAATAGTCTATATTATGGTATGATCAAGGAGATTTATGTTATACTAAATTTTTTCTTAAACTGATAGATGTGTTTATTTCAGGAGCTAGAAGCATCTGAAGAACTAGATACAATTTGCCCCAAAGCTCCCAAATTAGAGGAAAGGTAAGTGTTGTAAAAAGTTTTAAAAGTCTATCATTTATTCTTGAAAACACTTTTAGATCCTCAGTTTTTGCATTTTCTTTCTAAATAGAAATCAGGGATTTGGTGTTTGCATTCTAGAGGTCATAATTTTGTTGTTTACAGTCGAGCTGGTCACGCAAACTTGGGAAGATCTAATTTACGTTGGAGAAATTTTAGTGCCAATTTAGTGAATGTGGAGGATATTCTTTGCTTTTATAGAAATGTCAGTGTTTCCGTGAAATGACCAAGTTTTGCTTACCTCTGTGCATTTCAGCCAGGATCCAGTTGTCTTGTTACTGCTCACGGCTTACACTTGACACAATTGTGTTTTCTTCTACGCAGCCTCAATGACCGCTGCGGCGCTGTCCGGTGGTAGAGTGCTGAGTGTGAAGAGTGGGGCATGAGAAGCTAACGTGTGTGCTGTACCCCTTTAAACAGACTGGGTACTTCTCATTGCCTTTCTAAACATTGATAACTTGAATTCAAGCAGATTTTGGAGCCGTAAATCTGTATTTGTTTTATGAAAGATCTCAGTCAGCTTTTGGAGAAGTTCTCTTATAGGAATTTTGGACTTTGGTGTGTAGGGAGACTTACAGGGATTTTTATTGTAATAAATTTGAATTAATGCAGAAGTTTACAAAGGAATTTACTTTGAAATATATCAGCACATCAGCTATTCATAGTTGGGGCTCAAGTTTGCCATCTAACATTCTGAAAATTTCTAACAGTGTTTGATAATAAACACCTCATTCATCATCTGCCCTTAATTAGTAAAGTACTCTCCATAAATAGTATTCCATGTGTGTCAAGCTGACCTTTTTTTTTTGAGACAGAGTCTCGCTCTGTTGCTCATGCTTGAGTGCCGTGGCATCAGCCTAGCTCACTGCAACCTCAAACACCTGGGATTAAGTGATCCTCCTGCCTCAGCCTCCCGAACAGCTGGGACTACAGGCATGCGCCACCATGCCCAGCTAATTTTTTCTATATATTTTTAGTTGTCCAGCTAATTTCTTTCTTTTTTTAGTAGAGACGGGGTCTCGCTCTTGCTCAGGCTGGTCTTGAACTCCAGACCTTGAGCGATCCTCCTGCCTCGGCCTCCCAGAGTGCTAGGATTACAGGCGTGAGCCACCACGCCCGGCCTCAAGCTGACCTTTGAGTGCCACATTTTCTCACATGGTTTGCCCCCTTCCCTGCCTTTTTCATAAGAAAATGATCCTCTTTATCCCTTTGTTGATTTGAGGCGTCCTCACGTGTGGTTCTCAGCTGTAGCCTGGTGATGCCATTGGCTCATGGAGGCTGTGCAGCCTCCAAGGACAGCTGTGCTTTTTGTATGCTTGTGTTTGCTGTTCAGTTGACTTTCCTCCTCTCTGCTGATTCCAGACTTGCTGCTGTTTATGGCCTCGTCTCCAGCAGACCTTCTCTGTTTTCCTAATGTGCTGCTTCTAAATCTGTGCCTTCAGACACCAAGGCTAGAATTATGTAGTAAAAATTCAGCATATTTTGAGTAATAATTTAAAGAGTTCCCAGTGAGCAAAGTGCAGGAGGTGGAGTTTGTGGACTTGTGACATCTCTTCTGCCAGTACAGGGTGGCACAGGTGGCTGGGGTCGCTGGCTGAGTGATCTGTGGGGTCAGCATCCTGTTCCTGCATCTCTTACTGTTTTTCTGAGAATGAGCTAATCATACTCTGTTGGCAGTGTAAATGACATAGCGTTGTGTGTTTCATTTGTGGTAACTTTTACCCTGTGAGATTTTGAGCCATGAATCATCTATAACACCAGTGGGATGAGAACATGCTGGTGTGACTCCCTGGGGCTTAGGTACTTTAGGGATCTGTCCCAGCACTGACTTTTCCTGAGATTTGTGAATAAACTTTTTACTATGTTCAGATAATTAAAATTCCTGATGGCAAGTGAGATTATGATGTTTGAGAGATTGTATAACATATTAAATGTAAAGTTAAGATGAGAGCATTCGAGTTTTGTTAGTTGATGTTCTGAGGCTTAACACCTTCAACCTCCAGGTCTGACCTCGTGAGCCTCACAAGTGTAGAGTGGTGTGCGGCATCGTGATGGGAGGTGGCGCACGCAAGACCTAGTTCTGGAAAGTTTGGATGGGTTCAGTATAGAGCCCCCCATTGAACGATTCCTTACTGAATTGGTTATTATTATTTTTTTAGTACTGTGAGTTGATGGGCTTAAATTGCAACTTGAAGGAACATTCGTTGCCTTAAAAGCCATATTGTGTTTTACAGTGGCTTAGGGACAGAATGAAATAAAGGAAAATGTCAATGCATTTGCTTGTTTAGTACCACTCAAAGCTGTGAACTATCATCCTGCTATCCCTCCAATATGCATGTTACTCATGAAGCGGAGCAAAAGTGGTGTTTAATAATTGAGCTGAGCCATTTTATATCAATTTTCTCTCTTTAGGCTCAAAGTGCTGACAAATAAAGCTTCTGTGATGCTCTTTATGAAAGGAAACAAACAGGTAAAGAACTCAAAAATGGTTTTATTTGTAATTTCTTTTGATGTTAACATCTGCAACAAGGGGACAGTTAAATCTTTTTTTTCTAGCTTTAGCTAATGAAGCTGTAGTGGTATCAGGAAGTTATCCAGGCCTTAATTGGTGCTTATGGAGATCAAACAAAGTAATCTACATTTTGCTTGACTTTATCATCAACATCTCAGTGGGGTGCATTTCTTTCTGCTGCCAAACTTTGCCAGGGAACAAATGAACTAAGGAGAGAACTAACATGGTCAACACTGTTAACACTTTACTGGTTCCATTAGTTGCTTTTTCATTACCCTTTGTTTGAGTTTGTGGACTGCTGTTGTGTGCAGCTGGGTCATTGTACTTCCTGAATGCAGAGAACCTGGTGGTGCTCGGGTTTGCACCCTAGATCGTCCTTTAGATCCTTTGTTGACATGGAAAATAAACCCTGGCTACGGCACGTGTGCTCTGTATCTGTTTGATGAATGAGTAAAACAGTTGGCAGTTCTTACTTTGGATAGTTCTTGTAGCATTTTTGGTGAAAGTATATGTTGATTGTACATCACTTTGAATATCAGGTTTGATAGATTGTGTCCACTGATAGTTTGAGCAAAATTAATTGTCTTTCGCATTGGAATTAGGGCAGTAATTTCTAAAAACCAGCCATGTACGTTTATATCATGTTTTGCAGTCTTCCTAGGAATTGAACCTCTGTTAACTTTACTGAATTCTCAACCAGTGTTGAAGTAGTAAAGTCTGGACAGAGCTTAGCTTGTTCAGAGATAAGCAAAGGAAAACTCCGAAAGGTGAGGCTGCTTGGATTAAAGAAACAGCCCCACTTACCAGCCAAGACACACTGGGCAAGTGACTTCAATACAGCGCGCTTCACTTTCCCCGTTTACGAATGGACATCATGGTGCCTGACGGGGCTGTTTTGAGAATCAGGGTGCCATAACTAGATTGAAAGTTAATATAACCAGTATAAATGAAACTAGTTAATTAATATAATTAGCATAATGAAAGTAATAATAACGAGGAAAATGTTAATATAAACTTCAGCATGTTGGGATCACTAGGTGAGGACCAAGATTCTTTGACTTGTTCAGTGTATTTATTAAAACAATAGAGGAAGATAATAATTCC